GCGAACTTGCTGAGGGTGCACTCCATGTTTTCATAACAGAAACTCCTACTTGATTACCACAAGAATTAATACTCCGCATAGCATACAAACCAAAATGGCTTTTTTTCCTTAGGCCTGAACCCTCCAATCCATCTGGCAAACCACCAAGACACAGTCAGAGGAGACAGGGCTTGCCCCAGATGGCTTCAAGATTGTCTGTGATGCATATTGTTAAAAAAGGCTTCTTTTTCTGAAAGCATCTTTACGTTTAAAAAGGCTACAAGGAGAACAAAAAAATGGAAGGGTAAGGACATTTTTGAGATGTCTACCAAACTTCAGAGCGCAGCTATACGAATGCTTCCTTACACACTTTTATGAGACACCCCAGTAAGAAACACATCCAAAATTTGGCACAGTTTTATCAGTAAAACTGTATTGGTAAATCCTCCTCATTTTGGAGGATTCATGCTTCTACCCGTCCTAGTTTCAAATGGGACAGAGTTAGTTCTTTTTAGCCGTGAGAAGAGCTCTCTCCCAGATTTTAGGCTGGGACTCCTTATGAGAAGAACGCTGACAGCGCACTGATGTTTATAGTTGGCACTGAGACCTCAGGGACCTTTCAGCTTCTCACTTTTTGCCAGCGTGCAGGAGCATGGCCGGCTGAGTGGGGTGCATGGCTGGGACAAAGGGTCCACAACTCCCCTTAGGATTTGAACGTAGACATAGGATTGAGGGCCAAACTGGCCAATGAAGTATTCCACATCATGCAGCGTCATGCCCAGTATAAAAATGAGGGTTGATCTGAAATAAAGGGCTTTTGCTCTTCCAAGGGCTCTCACTCTTGGAGTGCTCTCTCTCTCACACTCTCTTTTGGGCCTCTCACTGGTCCAGGATTGAGGTACTGAGACTTACCTGTTTGGGATTGTTAGTCCAGGACAGGATGGGCCTTGGTCAGTGGGTGGTGAGGAATTATATTGTGCATCGCTTATTTGCATATATTATTATCATTTTCATTATACATATATATATATCCACTGCTGTTTTAAGCACATTGGGCTTTATTCTCTTCCATTAATGCTAAGGCAGATTTAGTGTTCGATGAGACACATACCTGTTCGTAAGAGCAAGATGCTAAACCATGTACCTCAGTGGATACATGCATGGATCGATTTTGTACATTTGACAGACAAATCTAGACTGCTGTGATGGGTACTTGTGCATTCTGACAGAGAAAAGATAAATGGGGCATTTGCAGAGGTGTGGATTGGCTCAGCCCTGGTCTGAGGGAGACGGGGGTCCGACCTGGCCATAGAGCAGTCGGGCCACTTTTGGAGCCCAGGAAGTCACTAGGGCAGTAGCCCCCCCTCCTGCTACCAAACCCCCTTCACGTAAATTCAGCACATCAGTTTTACACAAACAGCAGTTTTTGAAATACCAGATGCTCTGCAAACACTGGTGTGCCCCAGTCACCCACCATCTGAGGGACTGGGCTGCCACACACGTCCAGCAGCTTTATCCTTCTATGTCACAGTACCCTAACAAAACACACCAGCTTTTCTTCAAACCAGTTAAAGTTGCTGGATGTTGATCAACTGCTAGCTGCACATGCCTGATGACAACTCACTAAATTACACTAATTTGATGACATTATAATCTCAATGGTTATTCGGCTTGGACCAGCAAACCAAAGGATCCACATCCACTTTCTCTCTGACACCATACCCCAGGAGAGCTGCTGGTTTTTGGTTTTTTTTTTTTTGAAATGAAACACATGAAGGGATTTGTCTAAACAGAAATGAGAGTAAAGTCTTACGATTTCTTTGTCTTTCAAGGACAAGTATGCACTTAACTACGTTCTGCTCTTCTTATCATCTTGCACCCACAATACTTCCTAGCATACGTTCTACCCCACAAACTCCACACTTAAGAACATAATGCTCTTTTGGGACAATAATATCTCCTCATCAAGGACAAACGAGAGGCAGAAAATTCCTATTTGAAAGCACAGTGGTTCTGATTCACCAGAATTCTGTACAAGATTGACATCAGCCTACAATAGGAATAACAACAGGGAGTTGTGATCTAAGACATTGCAAACTTCAGCATGGAACAGAAGAAACTACTCTGGAGCCTCTTCTCCTTCCTTGCCCAAACACCTGTTTCACAGATAAATTTCCACTGCAGACTGCCAGGACTGGGATGTGTAGCCCCCTATTGACTGTGGTAGTAGAGAATGGGAGAATCGCAGGTATTTTAAATGATGCTTAGATTATTTTTCCTCCTGCGAAAAGGGATGAGATGAGTCGACTCCTGTCCTCTGGGTTTACAGGAATATATCTCATTTAAATCTCCTAGGGATCAGCATAGCTTAAAATAAACCTTTAAGTATTTCTCTTTTACACTTAGCAATTAATCAAAAATATCCTAGGTAGTACATTATCCCAATGCACAATTAAGAGGGCCATATGTCACTTTAGGTTCCTTTTTAATCACCAATTCAACAGAAGGTTTATCTGTGTCCTTAATTCTCTCTCAAAAAACAGAGAGAGAAACTCCACACATTTTAGTAAGATATGACCTTTCAGAAGGAGTTTTTAAAAGCAAGTATCTGTAGGCATACCAATGCCTAGTTTTGACGCAATAGTATTCACACTTATGAGACACCAACCATTCCTTCTTTTAAGTTTCTCAGGAGCTCATGGCTGGAAAACTGATATGTAGAGAGTTCATATAAATTATTCACTGCCATAACCAAGCCTCATTTGCCCTGTCAGTAGTTGCTTGGTGCTTTCATCAAAATGAGACACTTCCAGCAACATTCTTCAACTATTGCCCTTCTTGTCTACAACTAAGTGTGCGCTGTTTCCCAAGTTTTGTTGACCACAGAAATAGATGCTGCTCAGCAGGATGTCTAATGAGAAAAGACTCATGAACACTTTTACAAAACATTGTTAGCAGAGGCTTCCACTGTACGGAGAAGGAGCAACAGAATAGGGTAAGGCAGAAAACAGGAGAATCTCTGTTCTAACAGGACCAGTCAGAATGCAGACATTTGGTCCTATCTTGTTTCTTTTGATGGACATTTACATATGCAATACATAAGAACCAATGTAAAAAGTTGTAAAATCCTTCTCAGACACTGGAGAAGAGGGGGAAAGGACAATTTCATATGCTGATACTCATTCTGGTTCTTTTTGCAGTGGGTGAAAAGATGGGAGAAAAAAAAAAGGCTCTGGACAGCTGCTGGTATTACTATCATAGTATGACTCTTTAAAATGTCAAGATCAATCCAAGGTTCTTCTCTTTTTGCATTCTGGTTTTACAGTCTCTAAGGCCCTGACTGATAGCTATCCTCTACAACCTACTGATTAACTTTATCTTTGTCAGTTTGACTCCATCCTATTATCCATGTCAGAAGACAAAGTGGTGTAAGACACCAACTTTGAGAGCTGGAATATTTTCCACACGTTGCTTGGGCCTTGCTCTGCATTTCCTCTAGTACCCAGACTGTGATCACGCAATCACCTCACCCTTATGCAGACTGTACAGCAGAAATGCTGTCAGTAGTAATACCAAGGCCTTATCCATTTATGTGCTTCGCATGTTTGCTGTGTGTTTTAAGGACAAGTTTGATGTATTAAGTGCCTTCTTGCGAGAAGATACACAAACAGTAAAGATATTAGGCACCTGAGAATTCAGACAATTGAATATAGCAGCTACTTTGGAATGTTAACAAAGAGAATGTACCAGTTAAGATCGGTAGCTTCCCCAAGATCAGGTAAGCCACATATGGATAAACGATCTTGGTTAAAGACCAAAGGACACAGGGAAATTGGGTCGATGGTTGCAAAAGCATCCCCCCAACTCAATTAAGGAGACAGGGAGCATGTGTGAAAATATGTAAATAAGTTATAGGAAATACCTTAAGTATGTATACAAATTCCTGTAAATCTTATGAGCATGCACAGGTTATCACAAATAAAAGCTTTGTAATTTAAGCCTTAGACAGACACGTTTGGAGGAATTATCCCTCGTGTCTCCAGCGCTGCAATAAAGAGTGCTTACCTTCTAAAAAATCAAAACAATTCTTAGAGGGTTTTTCTCTGCCAACTTTTGCGGCCTCAGTAGAGTGAAACCCTTGCTCGGATTCCACAACAAACAATCTTGAGCTAGATCAGGTTGCAGCAAGAGATATATCGCAAGAAGACAAACATACCTGACCTAGTATAATAGCCTGGGGAAAACAAAAAGTCCTTGCCAAAGATATCTGAAGTGGCAGAGCAAGTTTATACCCGATCTGCGCTCACATGTGGGAGAAGCATTTCTGATCTGCTATCACAGGCACTGAAGCCAGGTCTAGCGTATTGTCACGCGGTGGGCTAAGGATCTCAGAAGCCAATGCTGCATTCAGAAGGTACTCACCTCTTCAGCTCAGCAATGAGCAAAGCTGTGCAGGGAACACCCAGAGTCATTAGCGAGATGTTATTGATGGCAGGCTTAATGAAGGCGAGGCAGGTAGTAACTCCAGACAGGACACCCACGGCGGCTTTAAATCGGCTCCTGAACAGGGTTTTTTGGGGAGAAAAACTGCTTTTAATTCAAAACTTTTAATTACTAAAACCAGAAATCTTAAAATTCTTTTAGCAAAGCAACAAAATTTAGGTTTCTCTAAGTGTATTCAGGAGGTGCAATAACAAAGTGCATAAAACGGATGTGAATCTTGCACAGATCTGCGTGCGCGTGCAGAGTTAATCATACAGACAAACCTTTGCTGGACTGTGGTCTTCTGAAGCAGCCATTTGTGCACATACACACGCAGGCACACACACACACACACAAGTCACCGGTTTCAAAATCCTATGGCCATGCCCCGATCTTCCTCCTCCCACAGCAAGTCAGGAACAAGTCCGTCTCTGCACACAGCACTGTACTTCTTCAAAGCAGTGTTGTGTCATGACTCTCCATGATTTTAATGTGGATTTTTAGGATATTTTGTTACTGTTAATGCCCCAACTTCTAGTCGTGTTACGGTCTGTTTTATCTGCTTTTACCTCTTTTAAGCCTTAAAGATATTGAAAATGACAAGGTGAGTAAGGACGTTTCTTTTAACCAAATGCAACGGTAAGTGAGCGATTCCCACACGTTTTAGAGATTACAGTTTGGTATGTTCTTCGCATGAATTAAACCACAATCGCACCCTACATAGACAGCCTGACAACTTTTAAATTAAATGCATGTCAACCGTTCGTCCTGCTTTCGGCTGGGACAGAGGGACTTTTCAGTAGCCATAACAGCGCTGCGGTTTGGATCGAGTACTGGATTCGATACGCGCCACCTGGCAGACAGCGTCACCCAGACCAAAACCCTGGCCTCATCCGGCAGCTTTGGTGACTCTTCCCGGGAATGGGGGAAGAGAATCAAGGGGAAAATGGAGGAGGACCCATGGGCGGAGGTGAACGCAGGCACCCCAATGGGAAGGGGCACCCCCGTTGCCTGCTCTGCCCATTGGCCGGGTGCCACGGAACGGAACTGTGCCCTCAGCACCTCACCACCTCTGCAGCTGCTCAGGAGGAAGCGTTCTGAGAAATTTAGGAGAGGGGACAACCTTCGCCTCATCTCAGTTGTGATTATCAGTATCAGTTATAACCTGGGAGATTGTGATTTATAGTTTTGACACCAAGTTCAACAGAAACAGGACTTTGCCCCAAAAGTGTTAGTATTCCCTTCAGAAAGGAGACAGTTTAACCTCTTGACCCACACTATGAACCCACCTAGCACACTATCAGAAGACAGGGATAGATTATGGAATCATAGAATGGTTAGGGTTGGAAGGGACCTCAAAGATCATCTAGTTCCAACCCCCCTGCCATGGGCAGGGACACCCTCTGCTAGATTACGTTGCTCAAAGCCTCATCCAACCTGGCCTTGAGCACTTCCAGGGATGGGGCAGCCACAACTTCTCTGAGAAACCTGTTCCAGCGCCTCACCAGCCTTCAGAGAGAAGAATTTCTTCCTAATACATAGGTGACATATAGCAATCCCCTTAGGCTTCTGAGAAACAATCTATGTGCAGTCACAGAAATTCTTCAAAAGTTTGAACTCTTCTTTCCTAAACTAAATATCTAGAAGTCATGCCATCGACCAAAACACCTCAGTAAAACCTGACTGCTTGTTAAGTTGATGGTGTCCTGTAATAGACTGTGTTGCAATATGCAGCAGTACTAAATTCACACCAGCATAGCAAAGCCATCAGACTGTGTAGACTGTACACAGTTAATTCAAGATAAACTTTTCTCAGTGCAAGCTATTTTGAAGAATGATCAATCTAGGCACCAATCTTCTCTCTCCTTCCCCCCACAGCAACTTCTCATCAGGCACATGTCAAGGAAAAAAAATACAAAAAAAAACCCAACAGATAATAACAGTACAAGAAGGCAAGAGACAGGAGGAGCCTTAGCAATTTTCAGAGAGAAGACATGTGGTGCTGCAATTCAAACCTCTCCATTACCTCAACTTCTTTACTGCATAAAAGAGTGATATATATAAAGACAACAGCACAATTTTTTTTAAGGAGGACAAATCACAACCAGGTTATTTAAACTGGCTACAACTGCTTTTTTTCAGTCCTGCAAGAAAAAGAAAAAAAAAAAAATCCTTTTACAAAGACGATAAGCTTCTAAACAAACACTCAGTCTTTGAATACTTAAACACTATCCTTAACCACTGCCTTAACTATTCAGAAGAAAATTTAGCTGCCTTCCATAAGTCCACTTACACATATGCTTTAGGATATACAAAAGGATTGAGTATCTTTTACTTTACTTTAGCCACGACTTTTATAAAACTACTCCTGTAAAGGTCTCCCTAGAATCAACAAGAACAGGCACTTCCAGAGGCAAGTCACCTCATTCCAAGATCTGAAGTTACAGGGCATAAACCCCATCTCATCAGCAACTGCAGACTCAGTATTCTGAACATAAATGGGCTGAGATACAAGCAACAGGAAGAGAATGGAGTGAGAAAAGATAGCGGTGGCAATGGTACAGTTGGATAACAACTCAGTGCCTTTACTGGCTGCTTTAGGTGTTAGCATAAGAAGTTTCTCGAAACATGAATGTGTACATGTGTGATTGTATGATTACCTGTCATTCCGAAAAACTCTGGGCAGGTATCTCCTAGGGAACCACATGGCAAGAGCACACATCAGGACCCAGAGAATAGCCAGCTCATCCAGCATCTGGCCCAGGAAACTGAGGGTGGCGTGAAAGTAAACTGACCCGATTCCTGGAAGAATCAATCAAAAGGCAATATGAATACTTGCAGTACTGTATAGACTGAAACACACTGCTCATGCTCAGAACTTCATAGCAAATGGGTGTCCTGGTTTCAGCTGGGACAGAGTTAGTTCTTCTTTTTAGCAGCCAGAAGAGCTCTGTGTTTTGGTTTTAGTCTGGGACTAGCTATTAGAAGAATGCTGACAGTGCACTGATGTTTATAGTTGGCACTGAGACCTCAAGGACTTTTCAGCTTCTCATGTTTGGCCAGAGTGCAGGTGCACAGTCGGCTGAGGGGGAAGCATGGCCAGGACAAAGGGTCCACAACTGCCCTTTGATTTGAACTTAGATTTAGGTTTGAGGGCCAAACTGGCCAATGAAGCATTCCATATCATGCAGTGTCATGCCCAGTATAAAAATGAGGGTTGACCAGAAAGAAGGGCTTTGCTTTTCTAGGGGCTCTCATTCTCAGATGCTCAGAGTACTATCTCTCTCTTGCTCTCTCTTCAGGCCTCTTACTCATCCAGGATTATGGTGTTGGGATTTATTTGTTTGGGGATTGTTAGCCTGGGATGGGCCTTGGTCACTAGGTGGTGAGTAATTACACTGTGCGTCACTTGTTTGTACATATTATCTATCTATCTATCTACCTATGCATATATATTTATAGTCAGTATTAAATTGTTCTTATCTCAACCCACGGGTCTCTTTCTCTCTTCCCCATTCCCTGGGAGTGGGAGTGGGTGAGCAAGCGGCTGCGCGGCATTTAGTTGCTGGCTGGCCTAAACTAGAACAGGTGGATACTATTTGATAAAGAACAGGTTAAAAAAAAAAAAAAAAGAAAACCAGAAAATAAACGTCATCTTTCCTAAAAAGGCAATCCAAATCATCGGCACCTCATTAATTACAAAGCAAACACATTACAAAAGCAGCAGCTAAAGATGCCAGCTCCTACTGGAAAAGCAGATGTATATGAAAAAACATCAGATCATAAATTTAAATGCAAAAACAATTAAGAAATAAAAGCCAATGCTGTTTCTGAATTTTTTCCATAGCACAAGAATGGGTAAAACAAAGATGAAAAGCAGCATCTGCTGATTACTCCATGATACAGGTTTACAGATGGAAAGTGTCACACCGCTGCTCAGGGCAGTTCCCAGTACCTCCAGGAATGAGAACGCTGGAGAATCTCACATTTACAAAACAGCTCAGCCTTTGGGCCTTCTCACTACAGTGCAAAACCTCTTATCCTCTTTGGTTGTGCTGGGCACTTTCAACTCTCATTGAAGCAACAACAGAGGAAGGAGGGTCAGCACAGCTGTAGAGTAAGCCCAAACATGAACAAAAGAAGTTCCGTGAAGGAGGGTTAGGAAGGGAACAGAACTAAAGCCAAAGTTCCCACCGACCTCAAATTGCAAAAGGGGTTTTCTTTTCAGAAACTACAGCTGCTTCAGTTTCAAGCAAGTACAAGCAAACTTCTCTGTAGTCACAGACCTCCAGATTCCTTTGTTTTACAAAACAATCAAGCACAAGCAAGAAAAACTGATTTCCTCTCTCAGTTCATGCAAGAGCAGGCAAACAGAGACTAACCAACTTACCAACCACAACGAGCAGAGTCCATATTAAATAGATTCCACTGTTGAAGCATGTTGCATATTGACGGAACAAGCACATACATATGGGTGGTAAAACAAAAAACAAGAAGTTGCTTATCTAGGGGAAAAAAAAAAACACAACAGTATCACGAGGACAGAAAATAAACACACCTTAAATATTCATAGGCTGCCTAAGACATCTGTAAAAACATTGTGTCACCCAGTAAAGCCCCAGCTCAACAAATCACAGCCCTCAGTTTCTGCCAAAGCTGAGCTGTTTTCGCAAAGCATCAACTTGTTTTGTTTAACATGATGAAACTAATGACAGCATAAATACTTTCAAGCAACGTAAAATGTGGCTAGTCACATTTTAAAATTACCTTTCAAGTCTATTCCCAGAAGAATTTTATTGAGAGTCTACAAATACTCCAGACTTGCAATGCCGGAAGCCTACAAGAGCAAGCAGCTGAGGAACAGGACGTCCTGGGAAGTGACCTGTCCTCTCAATGGCTGTCAAGCCCAGCACGGAAAAAGCACAAGAACTATTGGGACTAGACAGGGCTAGTCAAGCTTTGTGGAAGTCAAGTCACTGAGCAATAGCTATTACCTGGAAAGTCTGAAATACAAAGTTAAGATAAAACAGTTAGAACCCTTTTTCAGCAGAGTAAACAGAGCCTGAAGCTGTAAAGCCTTTTACTTTTTTTTTTTTCTCTTGGTTCTCCATTACAGAAACAACTGAATATGATTGGAAAGTAGTTATAGGAAGGTGAAATGGCTGATAATTCAGATCACTGCTAGCTTTTTTTTAACTTAAACTTCAATGGGAGTTGAACAAAGATGTATTTCCTCTTGCTTACCTACAATCCAAAGCATGATTCTCTGTTAAAGGCTGAAAACACTTTACCGGCAATTAGCAGCAGCTGTCACTATAGCCATCACTTGGGTCTCCCTGGAAGAAGCTGCCAGTGCCGAGGGCCAGCCCTGGCACTGTAACTGAGCAGTTCCAGAAAAAACTCTACTGCTGCTTCACAACGGGACAGGATGAGTTCCCCAGCCTCAGTTTCCTCATGCTTCCCTGCCTAGCCCAAGCACAAGAGAAAACCATCCCCAGCAACATTTCCCTGAAGCAGACACAGAACACAGCTCTGGGACAAGAGTGCTCCTTAGGGAGAGCTCCCCTCTTCGCAAAGACTTACAAGCTTGTCCTGACATTAATGAAAATCTAGTGGAGAAGAGATTCAAGAACGATACACAAAGGCAGATTTGTTCTTTCAGCTGCTACCACACAGCACAGTCTGAGAACAGAGCTTACAATGACGGAAACGGACACATCTCATTTAATATTTGCAAGGCTCATCAGAACATGCTCCTAGGCTAGCATTCTAAACGACAATAATTACAGAAGTAGTTTCTCAGCACCATCTACTTCAGGCCTGACACCTTCTTTCATGCTAAAGGTAAATCCTCACAGACAAGCTGCCTTTCCTTCCAAAGTCCTGGGTTTTCGATGTCATTAAAATACTTAGAAAGAGCCATCATCCACGAGGCTTACAGCCGCAAATACTATGCAAATCTTTGCCAACGGCACACAGCCCAAGCAAAGACTTGCTAAAGCAGAGGGCTCCTTGCAGTCAGGCCACAATGCCCACCAGTCACACCAGGGCAAGGCGCCAGAGCCACCATCTGCAGGGTTGCCCTTTCGGAGCCAATGCAAGGGTTAAATCCTTTTGCCAATTACCAGCTCCTACAGTGTGTTTTGCCACATAGAAAGCCAGGCTGATAAACCAGATGTTTAACACCTGTGGGGGCACCGACTGATGAACAGGGCCATACACCAAGCACCTCTTCAGTAGGAATAAAAGAACTCTTCTTATGGAAATCCTTCACCCTAAGTATCCTCACTCGAGCATCCTCCATTCATAAAAAAAACACCAGCTTTGCCCAGCAGAGACCATCAGCACCAGCGGGAATACAGCCACAGACCAGGATCCCAGTGCACAACACGCTGATACAAGCACAGGGCAGGAGGCCTCCCCTCGCCCCAAAACAGGTAGGAAGCATACACAGTGACTGGTAGCAAGAATGATGGAATATGAACAAGACCTCTGGAGACCTCAAAGAGCTCTACAGGTTTTAGGCTTTTAGCCACAGTTAGGCCAAAGAGAGGTGCCAAGGGGAGAAAACACACAGTTATAAACAAAGCAGTGTGGGAGAAAACCCTTCCATCTCTACAACTAGATCTGACCAACGAAGAAAACCAGACCAGGCAATCGCAGACTATAAAAACTTGGCTAGAAAGTCCTTATTCTGTCTAAGAACAAGGTGACAAAGGCAACACACCGATTTACCATACCTGTAGCAATGAAGGTTTATCCTAATGATTAGACAAGAAGGGAGTGGTGGTCTTCTGGCACTGAACTCCCTCTGATGCCATGGTCCTGTCTGCAAATGCCAAGAAAACCCTTGCAACCTGGAGCTTGGCCATGACTTGTACTCTTTACAACGGCCACCAGGGGGATTTCTTAACACCGTAAAAGTTGAAATAATTTCGAGTCTGCAATTCTTTTCTATTAAGTTTACAAAAAATGTGATAACAAAAAAAAATGCGATAAGCATCTACCTCCTTCATGCAATAGCTTAGTTCTGTTTCCCACATTCCACAAACAATATTTTCCACAAGTTATACTCAAATCAGAACTCTGGAACCTTTTCTGAAACGCATTGCTTAAGATCACTTAGTTTCAAGTTCAGGGTCTGCAAGATCAACACTAGAACTGACCCACTGGTTTTCACTCTCTGATACCAGCCTGGCTCCCCACAAGGACCGCCCTTAGATATATCGCAACCATTAACACCACCCTCTCCAAGGAAGTAAGGCACCTATCCATTTGGCTCCGCTTTCAGAAAGTACGTTGCATGTGCAGTTTTTTACACAATGCACAATCGTCCTGCATGATTTGATACTGTAAAATTCAAATGCTGATACAGTTAAGATTAGTGCAAAAATTAGCAACAGGAATATAGAGAATTTCCACTGGGATCTGCAAAAGGCAACAATTGAAAGCAACAGTTAGGGGAAAAAAAAAAAGTAAGGAGCCCATCAGTAACAGCCTATCTTCTGGCTTCACACAATTCTGGACATTCAGTTTCAATTTCCAACTACTTAATTGTATGAAAGGAATATGGGACATAGGCCACAGAGGGAAAGTGGCCAGAGGCTTGCTCATATCATGACCACAGAACTTGATCACAGTCTTGACACAGGATGTTTCCTGCAGTCCTACCAAAGCTCAAACACTTTTTACTATCTGGTATGCCTCCCAGACAGCAGCTGTAGCACTCAGCTACCACGGCAACACTTCCTGCACTACCTCTTTGCGAGGAGAAAGCAAAAATGGACCAAGTAGCTCTCCGTGAGTTCAGAAGGTTTCTATCTTCTGTATCCTGACCCATGACCATGCCACTCACTACACCAGAAGACTTTTGTAGTAAAAAAAAGATAACACGGAGCGAGTATCAGCATTCTCTCACATTTTTAAGACTATTTGATAGTTTTCAAAAACTTTTTATCTCCATGTCATTAGGGAACAAAAGAAGAGGAATAAAAACACCGGTAATCCCTCTTCAAATGCAAATTTGACAAGAAATATGTATTACCTGCACAACTGAATGCAACATAATGAACTGCAAAGTACTGACTTCAGGTCAGTAAATTACTGTTTTCAGGTGTTTAAAACAAAAACAACAGCTTTTATGGAAATATCTCTGCAAAGGGTAAATTCTTTTGATTATGTGGAGGCATTTGTTTATGTTCTCGAGCAGGGCTACACTGCATCAGGACACATTATTCATTTCAGGGGGGAAAAAAAAAAAACACACACACACAAAAAAAAAAAACCACAAAAAAACCAAAGAAAAAGCTATGTTTTTTAGAACTATTCTGTCAATTTGGGTTACAAAGTGTTTCTGGCC